GTGTCTTTTTAAAAGAAATCTAGTAATCATCGGGCAGTTGTTAAGGAGGAATGGATTAGAAGATTATTCATCTCTATTTTCAAAGTCATGAGATAGAAATTCTATCTTTATAAACTTTTGCTGGTCGGTTTCTCACAAAGTATATTCTCAGTTGTTAAAATGCCAAAAACAGTGACTATGAAGTATAATTTGTCCAGGGGGTAGTGAGAGAGGAATTATCATTGGTTAAGAATAACTTAATATAGGTTATGTTTCATTCATTCATTCATTCATTCATTCATTTATTCACTCAACAAATGTGTGTTTTTTTCATGTGCAAATTCTGTTCTAAGAATTGGGATAAAGTAGTGAACAAAACAGACAAAAATTCTCATCCTGGTGGAACATAAGCAGAAAATATGATGTATTACTGCCTTAAAGGTATATAAAAGTTGACAGTATTTAAAAAATAGCATGTGGCCCTGCTTCTCAAATTTTATTGTGCATGTGAATCACCTGGGGATTTTGTTACAATGCAGATTGTTATAGTTGGTCTTGGGTGGGGGCCTGAGATTCTGCATTTTTAAGAAGTTCCTGAGTGATGCCAGTGCTGATAGTTTGGGAACATGCCTTGAGTAGCAAATATTGTACAGTAAATGTTGTAGAGGGAGCTTAAAAGTAGAGAATGAGAGGGAGACTGGCTGCTATTTTAAACATGATGATAAGGGGGAACCTTATTGAAAAGGTGATAATTGAGCAAAAATATGAAGAAGGTGAGAGATTTTAGCCACGCACTCATCTAGGGTAATATAAACAGCCAGTGCAGACTCTGGCTTCAGGTGGGAGCATGCCTGATAAGGAGGCCAGTGTGGATGGAGTAGAATGAACAAGAAAGATAGTAGTAGTAGATCGAATTTGAGAGGCAGTGGGCGAGGCAGAACTTGCAGGGCCTTGGAGACCCTTCTGAGTGCTTTGGCTATTACTCTGAGGTGGGGACCCACTTCAGGGTTCTGAGCAGGGGAGTGACATGCTCTGACATATCTTGAAAAGATCGTTCTAGGTGCTGTATGAACAACAGACTGTTGAAGGACGAGGGTACAAGCAGTGAGACCACTTAGTTGGCAGCAAAAATGTGATGGCTCAGAATAAGGTTGCAGCAGAAGAGATGATGAGAAGTGGTCATATTAAGAATACATTTTACAAGTACAGCCAAGCAAACTTTTGGATGTCCTAGATGTAAGCTGTGAGAGGAAGAACGGAGGCAAGAATGATTGAAAGATATTTGGCCTGAGCTTCTTGAAGGATATAGTTGCCATCACATGAAATAGGAAAAGGCTAGGTTTCCAGGAGCACATCAGAAGTTGAGTCCATGTTATGTGTTGAGCCTTGGTGTGCGGTTTAGATCTCTTAGTGGAGATGTGGAATAGACAATTGCATATGAAATTTTGGAGTTCAGGGGAGAGTTCAGCAAGGAGATCAAAGGCTCTTTCATAGCATTCTCATAATAATCCTCTACCATTTATTTTGTTTTAAATATAGTTTTCTTGATTTCAGAGAGAAAGGAAGAGGGAGAGAGAGATAGACACATCAATGATGAGAGAGAATCATTGATTGGCTGCCTCCTGCATGCCCCACACTAGAGATTGAGCCCGAAACCAGAATCGAACTGTGACCTCCTGGTTCATAGGCCGACCCTCAACCACTGAACCATGCCAGCTGGGCCTCTACCATTTATCTTTTATCCTTGTTTTGTAGTTGGGAAAATATGATCAGAGAATATAACTGACTGACTCAGCTGTCAAAGGGTGGAGGATAAACTCAAGGTAGTATCTCTCTGGCCCCAAAGGTCATGCTGCTCTTCAGCTTCAGTAGTGAAAGAATCAATACAGGTCACTGTTACTAGTTATGCATTTCCTCAGAGCAAGTAAAAAATATTTTTAGTCAGGAAAATTGAGTTGGCTATTTATCTTTTTAGCTGCTGTGTTTGACTACTGTAGAAAGATTTATTTAAGTCAGTACTTGGCAAGTTTCCATAAGTTCTAGAGTGCCATGCTCATCTGGGTGTGACTCATTTTTCTCCTGAATCATTCACTTCTGTTACGGCTTATTAGAGGAGAGAAAAGCATATGGTCAGTGATCTGGGGTGTGTAGTGAATAAATCTGTGGTTGCTCATTGTTGGAAGTGTAGGGAAGTAGGGAAATAAGCATTTTGGCCTCCCCATCCCCCAGTGGGACAATTATAAAGAAGGTTCTATATCTTTTCTCAGAGGTTCCCAGCAGGATTGAGCCTCAGTTACCCACAGCAATACCCTGTTCATTAATGATGTTTATTGGCTTTCCTTGCATCCCTGCCTCACCTTTCTCATTTTTCATTTCTTCTTCTTAGCCTCCCAAATAGACTGTCTACACCCAAGAGCATATCTCTGGCTTAAGAGAGGTGTTAATGTAAAATGTGCTTAATTGGTGTATCCAGAATAGTTCTTTCTAGTTTCTACCACAATGCCTGGCAAATAGTCACACTAAATATTTGCCAGACCAACTAAAGACTTCAGTTTTCCTTAATCATCATTAAGTAAGGATAGTAGCTCCTGTTACTATTGTTTTAGGAAAACATATTTTAATAGGAAAAATATGTATCCCCCTTCATCAGCACTGTTGCCAATCTTATTTATTTTCCTACATTTCCAGAATCAAGTATTCTTTTTTAAAAAAATATATTTTATTGATTTTTCACAGAGAGGAAGGGAGAGAGATAGAGAGTTAGAAACATCAATGAGAGAGAAACATCGATCAGCTGCCTCCTGCACACTCCCTACT